TGAGAGCGAGTCAGACACCTCCAACGGCACTCACAAACAACAGAAACTTCTAACTTCTTTCACTTTTTATGGAGTTTTTCCTCGACACTACCAGTGAGTTGTGGTGAATCTAAGACAGTCAGGCAGGCCACAGACAGCTGTTGTTTTTCTTTTGCTCTCTCCATCATGTAATCAGAGAACTGTCTTGTGCTCTTGAGAGGAGCACTGTACCGAGACAGTGCCACCCTGCAGTGGGTTCTCACAAAAAAGGTTTCTATGCCACCAACAATGCCTCCACTTGCTGCTGGAATTGTGTGGAACAAAGACATGGTTATTGATAAAGCCACTGGTGGGTATTTCTCCTCTGTCATGCCTGTAACTGAAGAAGTTTTTTGTTATGCTTTTGTGTATGAGAACATTATTAACCAGAATATTTTAGGTGGGCTAAGAACCATCTGCCATTTTGATTCTGAAGTCTGGGAGAACTGTGCATAACCAAGGCAGGAGCAAACCTTTCATTAATCCTTTACAAAGAGGCACTGACACTGCACAACAACACAGATCCTGTTCCCATAACTCATCTACTTGATGTTCTGCATCATGTTCATATCCTATCATGCATTTGTAACATCATTACACAGCTAAACCAAAAATTCTTCATCTGTCCATCAAATATGATTAATGCAAAATTACTTTTACCACTGTGTTCAATTAGTTTAAGTACTGTTAAACTGTAATGTTTCCATGGAAATTTTAGGTCCCCTTTCCCACTATTCAGCTGGAAATGCAGCCACACTTGTCCTGTTGAGGGTAGAAAGGTGACCTTGGCATGCTGAGCCATTTGAGGGAGTTTCTTTCCAAGAAGCAACCTCTCAGTACAGAGAGTGAGGTGTGGAACCACAGAGGTTCAGAGCAGAACCAAGAGAGTCTTGATGTCAGGAACTGCTGTGACTGATGAGGAGAGCAGAAAGGTTTTCAGGGAGCCTTGTGCTGTGGCACTGCAGAGTCCTTCAGCAGGGAAACACCTTGAGGTGGGGCACAAACCCCTACAGGCTGTTGCTGCCAGCTCCAGAGGTTGCTGTCTGTCCAGAAGCAGCTCTGTGCGGATCAAACCTTGCCTTGTGCAAGATGATTGACTCACAAAGTCTTTCAGCATGTCAGGATCTGGTCTCTGGGCATGTTGTCATATCAGCCAGGAAACCACAGCACTTGCATGCCTTTGAAAAGCAGATGCTGGTATTTTGCAGGCGTTTCTATTGCTACAATTTGGGTTTGTGCTAAAATATAAGCTACTTGCTAAGGACACATTGAAGTATGAATGCTTGAGGATTATGATCAAGGCATCGAGGTTGAAAGGTGAACTCCAAGTCAAATCAACTGAAGTCAGTAAAGCTCAGATTTATCTTCAGTCAGGATAAAAGGAGCCATGGTGAGAACTGACCCATCAAGTGGGCTCACTGCTGTATGTATTTGAAAGTATTCCTCAATATTAATGCTTCAGTTCCTGTGGAAAGGAGTACACTTCCATTGCCACAAAATACTGACAGAGAATCCAGCTGAGCTGCATCTACTGACACCAGAATTACCATTGGCCAAATGTTCTTCTATCATTATTCAGTTTAATTTGAAGCTTTGAGGTTGTAGAAGTGCCAGTGGGCTTGGGCTGCCTATTTTACATGAGACGAAGGAACTAAAAAAGATAAAGAGGGAAGTAAAAAAACCCCTTGACCACAGGAACATTTCTACAGACACCACAAAACTGAAATGGTAAGAGATGAAAGGAGAACTGGGCAACTCAAAAATAAAAGATCAATTAGTCATCTGTGACCAATCCAGTGTTACGTGATCAACTCCCACAGAAGTGTATTTCAAAGTAGTTCCTGAAAAATCCTGTGTTTCTCCCTTCTGTCTCTGCCTAGAGAAACTTGAGCAAAGCCAGAAGATGAAGGAAGCTGGGGTTCAGGGGAAGAAGACAGAGAGACAAACCTGACTTTAGCTACCTTTTACTGTCTGTTTGTGGCCTGACAGTTTAAATTCTGACAGTCTGTCCTGCTTACTGCTGTCCTCAGGGAAAACAAACTGTTGCAGATAAAAAATTCCATTCAATCCCATGCTCTTCATGAATGCCCATATGTAATTTAATCATATTTAGATTTATTTTCTTACAAGGATGCATTCTAAAGAAGGAAGAAGATCCTACAGATCACTCTATGTAATTTATTTGCAAAGAAGAAAATCCTCAAACCTTCTACCAACTGCATTAACTCAGTCTTTACTTTTCCTGGGGTTTGTGGTACAGAAATAAACCCAAGACTCACGTGAGCAGAACATTTGGATGCCATTCCCTCTTGACAGAGGCCTCAGAAAGAGACACGTGGAAAAGGCTTTTCAAGAGTGGACTGACCCAGCAGAAATCCACAGGGAAGGGTGGGACCACGGAGGAGGATTCCATCCCTGGCAATTTGGTATTGTTACCAATTTAGTGGGTTTTAATTACTGTTGTTAGGTTCTGTCCAGATGTTCACAATGAATGGGCTGAAGTCAGCCTTTTCTCAATAACTGTTGTTGAAAAACTGCTGCAGCTTTCAAGCACTCACAAGAATAAAGAACCAAAGAAATGCAGATGCTGTTACTCCATCCTTCTCGCTCATGTCTTTTGTTAACTTTAAACTTTGTAGGAATATTTGAGCAGGGCATATAAAATTATTCAAAAGCAGGAGTTTTGAAGCAAATCTGTACTGCCCTTTACATCACCTCAGAAAGGAAGGCAGTTTTACATAAAATATATTTGGGAATTTCAGTTCAAAAGCTGAATCTTACTCACATTTAGGTAAAGGCTTTTAATTTTGTTGCAGGTAAGAAATAAAATTAATTCTACCCCAAACTTCTTCTCATTTCTGTTCACAATTAAAATTCCCCACGAGCCAGACTCCAGATTAAAGTGACCTGAGCCCAGCACAGTGATTTTCCGAGCTGTTGAGTAATCCTGAGATGTCTCCATGGGCACTGCAGGGGGAAGTGCCACCCTGTGAGGGTGACTGGAGAGCTGCAGCGGGGTGAGCAAACCCACGGGGAGCCCGAGGAGCCTGTGCCTGCCTGGGGGAAAGGGCAGCTTGCATTCCCCCTGGAAAAGAGCTGCAGCTTGCAATTCCCCATGGAAAAGGAGCTGCTGCTTGCAATTCCCCCTGGAAAAGGAGCTGCAGCTTGCAATTCCTCATGGAAAAGGAGCTGCAGCTTGCAATTCCCCATGGAAAAGGAGCTGCAGCTCCAATCAGCCACTCCCACCCTCGGCAGGCTGCGCACCCAGTGCCCTTCCCATGGATAACAGCAATAATTACCTGTCACCAATTCCATGGTGTGAAAACAGGGAAGCTCACCCTGCCTGCCTAACTCTGCCAACACTGAACCACAGCTGGAGAAGTCCTGGATGCATTTTTGTGTGTGATACTTGAACAATTCTGAATTTAAAAACCTCTCATTACAGCGTCTGTGTTAATAGAATAATATCTGGGGCAGTACCAGGGAAGTGTATTTTTTTCAAGTCAGTAAGCCAGACTGCAACTGTGTCACAACAGTCAGGTCATTTTCCGTTTAAAGACTCCCTCTTGTGGAAATCATTCAGACTTGCTTGTTTTGACCTATTTTCCTAGTAAAAGTCACTCCATATAAGGTTTTGCAAAACTTGAAAAGGATTCTGTTGCACAGTGTTGTCTGTTTTGAAGTTGGAACTCTGACAGGAGTCCTACATCTGTACTACATTGCCAGCAGATTATGTATTTTTCTATTGAATCTTTGCTTTTTTATTGCTCAGAGATTTATTTATTTATCATGTAGATAAAGGGGAAAATAATTCTAATTGTTTTTCATCAGTGCTTTTCACTGTCTGAGGTTTCTGCCCAGGTAACAGGGAGTTTTATCTACCATGCAGCTTCTCCTGGGAGAGGCTGAGTAATAATTAGGGGGTGGCTGATTCATGGAAAGCAGAGGATTCCCTGGATGTTGCTCAACTAAGGAAATGGAATTAGTAATGTCACAGTAATGGAGATGGAAAATGCCCATTCTGGAAAATACTTCCACAGAAATGTTACGGCAGTGGGGAAGCTGCAACTTGAATCTTGGACACTGACACACAGCAGAATCTGATGCTTTCCATAACGCGTGGGACTGAAATAAAATCCTTACAGGGGAAATTTATTCATACACTTTTACATCTCCTGAACCACCGATTTATTTTTTGAATCCCGTGAGCTCTGAGATTTGGGCAGTATGTTGTGGGTTTAGCTCTTTAGCATCGCATGCCACAGGTGTTTAAAAAGCCGATTTAAAATATTCAAAGGCCAAATGAGCACCTTCGAGCATTTCACGGGACACGGCCAAGCACCGGACGATGACCCTGGAGACAGACCGGGCTCTGGAGCCCCTCAGAGGCGCCGGACGCTGCTACGGCCCCGTACCTGCTCCCGTTCGCACCATTTCCCGGCGAGCTGGGGCTTCCGGGCGGGTCACTGTTGGCTTCCGTGCCATATTCCACGAGAACAGCGCGGAAATCCGGGATTTTCCAGGAGAACAGCGCGGAAATCCGGCATTTTCCGCGGTGCCGGAGGCCGCGCTCCGCCCTGAGGCGCCGCCGCTCCGCCTGAGGGGGCGCGGCCGCGCTCCGCCCTGAGGGATGGGCGTGGCCTCGCCGGGCAGCGGCCGCCGTGATTGGCTGCGCCGCGGCGCCCTCGCGCCCACTCTTTGTGCGGCCCCGGCGCCCGTCGAGAGTGGGAGGGGAAACCCCGTGCGAGGGGCGCCGCCATCTTGGCTGCGGGGGTGATGGGGGCGCAGCGGAGCCGCGTCTGAGGCAGCGGAGCGAGCCCGGACCGAGCCGAGCCACACAGCCCGCGGGGCACCGGGCACCGCCCGCACAGCCGCGCTGCACAGCTCCCTGAGCCCCGAGCACAGGTACGGCGGGCCGGCAGCGCCCCCCGCCCGGCCGGGCCTGCAGCGCCAGGCCCCGCGCCGGGGCTCCGCCGGGCGCTCGGTGCCGGTGCCGCCCCGAGCCGCGGAGCTGTGCCCGCAGAGCGCCGTGCGGCCCCGAGGGCGCTGCGGGAGGGCCCCGGGGCCGGCAGGGAGGGGAAGGGGCGGCCGGGCCGAGCGGGGTGAGGCTGCGGGCAGAACTAGGCCGCTTTGCTCTGTGTCACCGCCGCCTCCCGCTGCTCCCTGCGCTGCACGGCCGGCAACGCCACCGGCGAGCGCCCGGCCACAGGCGATATTTTTATATGTGTGTTTCTATATCTCCCCCTTACGAGCTGTTGCGGTTGCACGTAGGGTGTGTGTGTGTATGTTGTGCCGTATATGTGGCCGATGTGCAGCGTTATCTCTACTTTTTGTTATATTGGCCTGTGCCGTCATGAACTTTGACAGAAAAATAACTTTGAAGGTTGAGGGAAAAGCCACTTCCTATTTGAGAAAGCAGCGAAAGTATTCTAGACTGGGTTTTTTGTCAAGGCTTATTTAGACTAAACAGTGAAATTCTTTTCTTTCTCTGAATTGTTTATTGCCTGTTTGCAGCACACTAAGCGTCTGCAACATCTCTTGGTAGCTTTGTCTTGGATTGGAGTTGTGCTGAATTTTCCTTGCACTAAAGGAGGTTGCTGGCTGTGGCTTTTGCTTTGAGATGGGGTAGATCTGTTTTGGGATGTTTTTCAGAGGTGACAGAGCCCTTTAGTGAACAGGATTTACTCAGGTTGGCTGCATCCTAAACCCTATCAAACCCCAAGCCACCACATCTTTTACAGATGTTATCCTGTGGAATGGATTGCCTGGGATTGATTCCCGTCATGGTTTGGACTGAGGGGCCCTCCTGCTTGGGTACTACTTGCTAATGGGAAGAAAAAACCTTGGGGAATTTAATTACTAAATGTCACAATTTAATATGGTTTATAAAGGAATTTGCTAGCTTCCTGTAGGGATTTGAAAATGTCGTAAGTCTGAGTGGAAGGAAGAAGTTCCTCTTTTCCATTTTATGAGTAACAAAAAACATGAGGAGGTCTTATGAAGGACAGCAGTTTGGAAACAAACCTGTTCTACTGGAGGTACTGGGATGTGAAATGTAAATAATGCTTTAAAATTACCTGCTCACTCCTGGGCATCGAATGAAACCTGCTTAGATTGATTCTCATCTTGCTGAATCTTCCTAAACAGGAGGTAGATCTTAGTTAATATTTACCTAAAACGTCTGTGACTTGTGTTTTCCTAGGTGGGGGCTCCAGAGTGTTCTGATTTGTTGGAATGACAGAAAACTCTGCTGGTTTTGTATGTTCTGTCCCAAACTTAGCTGATATGTCTGGATCTTGGTTCTCCTGCTGTGAACAGACACAACAGGCTGGAGTGTTCTGTCAGAGGAGAGTAGGAGAAGTGAGGAGATACAAGTGGATGAAGGGTGGCTGAGGGGAGGGACATTTCACAAGGTGCTGGGGCTGATGAGGACAGGTAGGCAGTGATTAGTTCAGCTCTGCTGCTGGGGTGTGGTTAGGCAGAATTGAGGTGTGCACATATAAATGCAGGAAGTTTAGGAAGCAAAATGGAGTAACTTAATGAAGCAGGATGTGAAACCAGTAGAAGGATAACCAGGACAAGGTGGGTGTGACTGGAGAGCTGGTGAGCAAAGTCAGAAAGAGAAGGTGCTGTGTTATGTAGCTTTGATTTAAAAAGAAAAATGAAGTTCTCCTGGAAGAAGGGGAAGTGAAGGCCTGTGAGGCCTTCAGAAAAACCTCCTAAGCCTCAGGCTGGGTTAAGGTGTTTGACAGGATTAGGGAACATATCAAATGCATTTCTTCAAGAGCAGCCTGGAAAGGGCTCTGCAGGGCTGCAGTGTGAGCCCCAGAGCCTGCAGGCCTCCTGTGCTCTCAGGGAAGGAGAGCAGTAAGGAAATGCCAAGTGATCCTGGACAGCAGCTCCCAGACCTGCTGGGTGAACAGAGATCACCTCAGCCACATTTCCTCTCTTGTGCTGATGTTGCTGATGCTTTGGTGAAATCCAAATGGGGGAGCAAGGGAGGATGACTCTGGAAGAGCTGAGGGATGAGTAAGGAACTGGCCCACAACAAGTGATGTTGTCACACAGGTGTGAAGGCAGCAGGCTCTGAGGCTCCTCGGGGATCAGGCTCAGCAGGGCTTTGTAAAGCCAAGCCTGCAAAAATGAATAAATAAGCAGAGCAGGGTGGCTGCAGAGCATCATCTGATAGAGGGCTGAGATGTTGATGTGGTCCAGGAAGACCTGAATGTCCTTGGTGTGTGAAAGCCAGAGAAGCACAGTGGAATTTAATTGTAGCAGACCTCATAGCTTGCTGTGGACAACAGACCGATGGGAATTCAGTGCTTGGGTGAATGAATTGATAACAGAACTGTTGTTACCTTCAGTGTGCTGTGATCTGACAGGTGACCATAACTGAAGCACTCACACAGTTTCTAGTAGCCTGCTGAAGTGAGGTACCAGTTGAACCACGTTGTTCTGTGTGCTTGACAAAAGTCCTTATCAGGGGAAAAGTGCAATTACGAAATGAAACAATTCTACCCCTCTCCACCTCCTCCCCCTTACCAATCTTATTGTTGTCTGTTAATTAACATCCAAGTAATCTGCAGCTTCAGCTGTGAGAGCTTTTCCTGCTGCACACCCTTGGAGAATGATGCACAGGACACCTGGCTGCCACACAAAATACCTTTGTAAAATACCCAGTGGTTCCCTGGCTGCAGAGTGCTGTGGTTTGCAGGGAGCCAGTAACAACTGGGCAGTGCTGAGTTTGAAGGTGGTAGATTTTTTTTCCCCAGCTCTCATCCCTGCACATGGACCATCCATCAGCTGATGGTGTGAACCACAGCAGTGTCCAATAAACCCTCTGCATGCAGGTTTTGGTCTCCTTTCATAACACATCTTGTTGAGCATAAAGGTACTAAATTTTTTAATGCAGTTGATATCCAGTGAAGAGTTAAAACTGTGTCCTTGAACTGAAAGGAACTGCACAGGTCTCACAAAGGCTGGTGTGAATCTGATATTTACAGTTATGTTACTGTGATAAAGAATGTTACAGCAGTGTGCCCAGAACAATCTTATCTCAGGAAGTACAGATGTAGCTGATACTTGAAATAAGGCTTCAGTGAGATTTCTAAATGTCTGTGTGGTGCTTGTTGATTAGAGGAGGAGATGTAGATGTACTGGTGTCTCATTAAGGTCATCTTTAACGTTCTAAAAAAAAAAAGCCTCTAAGAAGTTGATATATGGGAAATAGATTTGGTGACACTGCTCACTGCAAAATTTCCAATCTTAATGTAATACAGAAATGAATTGTATAGGCTTTGAAATGAGCATAAATCTGTGCTTAGTGAGATGCTCTGGCCAGTGGCCATCCTGCAATAATGCTCTGGGCTCCAGGGCAGCCTTACCTGGGAGAAGGGAGCCAACACTGAGCTGGCAGCCTTGTCTGGAAGAAGGATGGCAGGTAGGCCAAGCTCCCAGACTAAACTTCTGCTTTCTGCTAACAGTAAACTCATGGCTGGTTGACTTTGATGTCACAGTGCACAGTGCCAGCAGTGGATATTTATGTGCAGCTTTCTCAGCCTGCAGTTCTTGCTCTCCCAAGAGGAAAGCCCCATCCCACCCGTTGGAATTATTGAGATTCACGTGTCTGGAACAGAGAGGGTGGAGGCAGAACTCCAGTTCCTGCAGACCCTATCAAGGCATCAACCCCTTGCACTGGCATGTAGCTGATAGTTTAGAATTTACTGACCCCTCTTGTGCCCTGTTCTTGTCTGGACTTCCTTCTTTCGTCTGCAGTAAATGCTGAGCTGCTCAGTTTTCCAAGGCTGAATTCTCAGCAGGGTTTCTGTGTTTAGTTGGTTGCATTTTTTTTCTCTCCTTCAGCACAGAGTCCTTGTAGAATATAACTTTTATTCCAAGATCTGAGTACAGTTTGAATTCATGCTAATCCTTATTGGAATTTGAGTGTTTAAAAGTTTGTTACTTGTTTGGTTTAGTATTGCTTGATTTTTTTTTATTTTTTTATTTAAAGGAATCCTCTGTCCTCCAGAAAATATTCCTGACCTTTACTAATGGTTTGGAGTATTTCAGAATCTTTTCTGTAATGTGACCCTTGGAATAAATGTAATACCAGTAGTTTTTAGTATTGAAACAGCATAGTTAAAACTTCTTTACTTAGAGGACATAATGAAAATGGACACAGCAAGCAGAAACAGCCTGACAAACAGAGCTGTGTATTTAGCAATGAAGATCTAGTTTAGACTCGCTTCAAATTCAGTTTGTGACAGAGACTGCACTGAGTTCCTGGTTTGTCAGTGCTTTAAAAAAAACTCCTCACTTTCTAGACTTGGATTGCAGGATGCATTTCCCTCCTGGCTGGAACAGGACAGCAGCACACCATTGTTTACCACACAGTGATATCCTAAAGTCATGTGCTCAGAAACATGAAACTTCCCTGTGTTTGGGAGTACTTGGCACTCCTTGGCCTCCTGGTCTTGGGAAGAAGAGAGGGCACGCTGGCTTCTGCAGATTTCATAGCCACACAGGTGGTTGGTTCCCTGTCTCGGAGTTCATGCTGCTGGTTGGTTTGGTTGGGTTGTTACCAGCATCAGTTACTGGATATTTCCATCCTCAGAATGCACAGGAGATCTCTGGTGCACATTGGTGCTCTTGGTGTCTCGTGGCTGTGACACCCAGCTGTTGTTTGTGGAAACAGGGCAGTTCCAGCTCTCCTCCTGAAGTAGTTGCATGTATAAATCAGTCTGTTCAAGCTTTCTTTTATACTTCCAGTGACCTCAAGGACCCCCAGTTTGGCCCTGTGTGCCATCAAATGGAGCTGAGCTGTGAGTGTGGTGCTCCTGCCCTGCCCAGAAAGGAGGTGGCAGGGGGAGGATCCTGCAGGAACATGTGCTTTGTGTGCCCAGTTTACTGTGCTGGGACAAGCTGGAGAAGAAAAAGAACATAATGTGTGAAGATGTTCAGGAAAGTTGAAGGACTGGATGTTTCCACAGTGACACATTCATTTGGAACTCAGTATGGAGCAGTGACTTGTCTTTATTTACTGCTGTTGAAAATAACCCATGCACGTGTTGAAGCTGGTACCATAACTCTGGAATCTTCCAGGAAATAAGGCAGTAAAGCTGCTGGCTTGCTCGGTGGATTAGCATCCAAAATTGTCAGTTTATTTCCCATCTTGGAATAAACTTGGTTCAGTAGAACAGTGTGTGTCTCTGTAGGACTTAGCAGGGGTGCTTTGTGTTCTGCCTGGGACAGAAGGAGCGAGTGTTTCCATGTCCTGAGCCAGGCGTGGAGGGAAGGCGAGGTGCAGAGCAGCGCCTGGCACTCAGTAAACCCTTCTTAGCTGCTCTGGGAGTTGTTCCCCTCCCAGGTCTAGATAAGCATGTTTGCCTCAAATCTCAGTGCTGGGAAGCAGAGGCTGCTGGCTCTGTGCTGGGAATGAGATTTGTTCATCTTTCTTACGACTGCAGTTCGCTGAGAGGGATTTATTGTGGTGCAAGGAACAGTGCTTTGCTTTTGAGAAAGTCTCAGGCCTGGAAGCTTTCCTCTGTGTTTCTTTCCAGTATTGGTTTCATTTGTCATGTGAATGACACATGACCTAATGAAAATCTTTCTAGGCTCCAGCAGTGTTCCTTGTAAGGAGTACCATGTGTTTGTAATGGCTGGCTATCTGCCCTGCAGGAGCAGCAAGGGAAGTGCTGAATTCCTGCTAGAAATTTTCCACTTGCTTAACTGATCAGTGGATCCAGTTTAACTTAAAACCTGGGACCAAAGCAGGCAATTCCCATCTTTATTGTTACCTGGCAACATCTGGCCCTTACAGATGTGTAATCCTGGCTAACTCATGTGTTAGTTAGCAAGTCAGCTTTTACTCCTCGCAGATTTAAACAGCCAAAGCCAGTTCTAATTCCCTCGACATTTAAGAGAATTCTGGAATGTTAGAAGTATTTTGACTGCCTTTTAAAAAAGAGAAACTGCTCAACAGCCTTGCTGTAGCACTGCTGTGCTGACAAAGCCACAGAGATGTTAACCAACTTCCTGAACATCTGATTTGTGGCTTGCAGCACTTTTCCAACATGGACAAGCAGCACCCCAGGCCCCAGTTAAGGCTACTACAGCATTCTTTTAAATCTTAGCTGTTTGCTGCAAGCTGCACTGCTTCCTTTGTTGCTGTTGCAAGTCTCAGAAGTGTGAGGTAATAGTTCCAACTTGCTGGTTTTGTGCTGGAGTCAGATTTTATTTTGAGTTGATACATCAGCTCTTTGGTGGGTGAGTGCTGGTCTGGCAGTGACTGTGCAGAGCAAGGAGGGACTGAGCTTTTCAACAGCTTTAAGTCCTGGATAAAATTGATTATCAGTGCTACCCCAGAGTGTGTTTCTACTTGGAGGCTTTACTGACAGGGGCTCAGAGCAAACAGTGTGGGAATTTTGCTGGCTGTGCCACTAACTCAGTGACACTGGGGAGCTACACAGATTTGAACTGAGAATGAAAGAGTGGTTGGGGGAGAGAGGAAGAGGAAGGGGTTTTTTGTTTATGTGAACTAAAGTGGATGATTTGGGTCGCCTCGAGGGAACAAGTATCAGTTCTGATGTGTTCTGTTTTTTATTTTAGTGCCACAATGGCAACTGCACCTTACAACTATTCCTACATCTTTAAGTACATCATTATTGGTAAGTACCAGTGGGCTCACACCTGTCTGTGTTCTGTGTGGATACATGAGAAGCCTGTGGCTGTGCCAGGCTGCTCTCAGTTTGTGCTTGTCCCACCTCTGTCCCCACAGGTCACCACACTTCTCTGCAGCTTTAGCATTTACTGGAGCATTTTGCATCATTAATCTCAAAGGTTTTAGAATTTATGTTGAAGGCATGAGTGCTGATTGGGAACCATTGCATGAGGCTCATAAACCTCTGTCAGGCTGTATTCTTGTGTTTAAATGTTGCTTTTAGCTGCAGCTTCCTTGGCTGCTTACTCAGGGACTCTAAGGGATTGCATTTATTGCTGTCCTGGAAGAACTGGTCTTGCTGTTAATTGTTTAATTGTTAATGACCTTGTGTAGGTGTAAATGATCTGCAGGTTTGTAAGTCAGGCTGCTGACAGCCTCAGCCTCTGGAGAAGTTGGTTCTTAAAAGATCTTGATGTGTCTCACTCTTGGCATTGTGCAAAAGGATCAGTGCAAATAAAGCCATTTCTTGAGCTCTTCTGGATGGTTGTCAGTATTTTTGATGTTCTTACCACAGTAAGACAGGAGCAAACACCAAGTATATTTTACATTTCAGTTTCTTCAGCTGTACTTTTTATAACCTTGTGAAATACAGTTATAAAATCAGTAATACAAATTAACTATTTCTTGAGTGTTCTGCTCTTGCTTGCAAGCTGTACCTGTAACCAAAGCTTTAGTGGCAAGTTGATAAATTCAGGATATAGCCAGGGATAGAACACTGCCCATCTGACCTGAGAAATGAATGTCTCTGTACCATTTGTTGTGTGGGAGGAAGAAAATGTGCTTGTTGCAACAATAATTTAACTATTCTTTCTGTAACAGGGGACATGGGTGTAGGAAAGTCCTGTTTGCTTCATCAATTCACAGAAAAGAAGTGTGAGTATTTACTCTAACTGGCATTTTCATCCCTTCTCCCTGCCTGTTTCCATCATGCATGAGCTCAGTTTGGTCTGTCTTACTCTCTGGGAGTTTGGATTGTACTGGGTCACATTTCTGGTTTGACTTCAGCAGATGCAGAAACAAATACTGATGTAGTTGTGGCAAAACCTGCTCCAGCCAGTCCTGCCTGTGAGGAGTGGGAGGACTGGATCTGATTTTACAGCTTTTCTGTGGATTTTGATATGGACAAAGATATTTCTTGTCTGAGCTCTGCATGTTTTCAGCATTGGTGTAGCTTGATCACAAGCAGTTGGAATTTTTAGTGCTGTTAAGGATTTCAGAAGGAAAAAAAAAGTGATAATTTTGCTTTCAGTCCTTGTTTGCAGCCTTAAGCAGCCCTGCAGGACGCTTGGCCTGCCCTGGGTGATGGTGTTTAAGGCTTGCTGCAGTCTCTCTCAGCTGAAACATTTTCTCATGTTTTATCATCCCTAATTAAGAGTTAGCTTCAGTTCCTCCTGGTGTGTGTTGCACTGGGGTTTGCAGCAGCTGTTACCTCACTCAGTGAGTAAGTCTGGAGGTATTTCTCAGTACAGGCATCACCATGTGCTGCTTGAGATGAGGTAACAAGTGGGTAGGAGCTGCAGTTGAAATATTTGTTTTCCAGTAGAAATAGGAACTTCTGACTGTTGTTTTTAATGAAAATGCACTATCACCCAGTTATTTAAAAGCCATTTTGCACATGGTCAAATTGTCCATGAGGAGAATGTTCTGTCAGCACCAAACCAAAGCAGTACAACCAGTGCCAAACACCTTTGCTGTGAGACTGCCCCTAACTCTAGGTAGCCTGAGTAGGTCCTCATCCTGTCTCTGTTTTCTTGATCTTCCTCAAAGATGAGCTTATTGACATGAGTTTATCATAACCAGAAAAATGCCTTTTTGGATTTGATTTGGTGTGTTTGTAGCTGCTTATGAAGAGCTGGAATTTTCTTGGACAGTCATCCTATTGCCCTGTCTGAACCAGCTTCAGTGTTTGTTTTTGAAGATGTGACAGACTTTTTAACTGTATCTTTCTTGGTAATTCCCTAAAAATTATCTTTTCCTACTGCATTAAAATAGTTAACCTTCTGCAAAGATAGACTGGGGATCAGCTGACTTGGTACCTTCTGATAGGCATGGTCAAAGAGCAGCAGAGAAGGCAAGGAATTTTACAACTGTTTTTAAAACTAACAGCAGCTCAGGAAATGGAGCATTTTGTTTCTGGTTAAGTGATGCAGTTTGGGAACTGTAGCTGTAAAAATGCTTTTTTAGAGACTGGAAATCTAGTAAAGATAACTGAAAACTTGTGGTAGTAATACTTTTGCAGCAAGGAAACCTTGTCCTAGGAAGATCTGATCTTTGCTCTTATTTTTCATGACAGTTATGGCAGACTGTCCCCACACAATTGGTGTTGAATTTGGCACAAGAATAATCGAAGTTAGTGGCCAGAAAATTAAACTACAGATTTGGGATACAGCAGGACAAGAGAGATTCAGGGCTGTCACACGAAGCTACTACAGAGGAGCAGCAGGAGCTCTCATGGTCTACGACATCACCAGGTAAGGGCAGCAGAGCTCTGGGTGCACAGCCCTGTAGCTACTGCCTGTCTGTCTGTCTGTCCCCTTGGCTCAGAGGCTCTGTGTGTGTCTGGATGAGCAGCATCCTGCTGTGTGCTGCCTGCCACACCTTACCTAAACAGCCCAGTGGTTAAAGAGGTGCAGATGAGGCACAGGGAAAGACGTGAGCAGCTTTTCTTGGAAAATCTCGCTGCTGATGAGCCTGAGGAGTTTGCATTTCAGGCTGTGACCGCCTGTGTTGAAGTGTTTTAAAGAACTGGCTTTGTCCTTAGGGTCTGCTCTGCAGCACAGGGATGTTGCAGCTGTGCGCTCACCTGGGGCTGCCCTCAGCGGGCCCAGCCGAGCGCGGCGCTGCCGCAGTGAACGTGCCGAGCTGCCCGTGCTGTGTGGGGAGAGAGCCTGGCCTCAGCCTGGCCTGGGCCTCATCCCCAGCAGCTGGCACTGCACAGCAGCCATCCTGCCTTCCTCTAGAGGGGACAGCTAAAGGTGCTGCTCAAGGAGTAGTGCATCAGATGCAACATGAAATACTTTTGCTTTCACACGTCTCTCATCTTCCTCTGGGGATGTTCTTGATATTCTTCAGGCACCTCTTTGTTTTTTCCTGCATATGTAGGTGTATTTTCTGTTTCTGTAAATCTTGAGTAAAACATGACCTTCTGCAGTTTGTTACTGAAGTGCTGTTCTGCTGTGCTGTGTTCTGTAAGAGTATTTGA